CTCCTCCACAAAGGTCTGACCAGCCAAACTCCACCAAACCTTCATTTCTCTGGATTCTGACAGTGCTCACAGTCTAAGAGTCCACAGTTTCCTTCTGCATTATAAATTGCTTTATATTTCACTAATTCTTTGGATCACCAGAAATGACAGGAATAATCATCTTTTTTTAGCTTGATCCGTAGCCCTAGCACAGATGTAGGCACATGCTAGGCATTATTTGCCTAATTAGCACTTCATGAACAACTTGTTGAAGGCACAAGCCAATGGCCCAAATGCACGTTATCTGGTAAAAAAAATTTTTTTTCATTTAAAACATTCTGATCCAAGGCACCACATAAGTCAGCCTTATTACCATAAGAATTTGAGGAGACTTTTAAAGAAAATCCTGTCACAGCTTCCACCTCAACTCATAAGAGGCAGGTCTTTATTTCTCTTTCCCACAAAGGTGTAACATACTTGGAGGTTGATGGCTCACCCCTAGTTCTGATTTCTCTTCTCACCATTCATACCTTGTCAAAAGCAGTCTTAAGGCATCACAATATAAAATCACAAATTGAATACCTTTCTCAGGTATCCCTTCCCTTAACACTGAGTTATTGAGGGCCAGCCCTGCAGATTCTTTGGTCTCAGCTGGGCCATCAGTAAAGTCAGACAATCCTCTCTTTCATCCCCCAGTTGATTTCTTATTCCACCCACAGAGGCAGCTGTTCCAAACCTCCGGAAGTCTCCTGAACTTTCCTAACCAGTCCACCACCTTTACTTTCTGCAGAGGACCTCGTCTCCTGCCTTATTCAGAAGACAGAGACCATACAACATGGACATACTAAACATCCCTCTGTCCCACGAAGTGATTCAAGTCGGAGAACCACTGCTTCAAGATGACCTAACGATGATGAAAACACACAATCAAAAGGCCTATTGATGAAGTCATCACTGGGTCCTTCTTGGGTATCTCTCCAGAAGGTCATGTTTACTTTCCTCTCTCCTTGCACTAATTTCTGAGTTGCTGCATGTCTATTAAAATGCCACTCAGCCAGAATGGTCCCTGCAAGGAATTCTGCCTGAACCCAAGCTCTGCCTTCTCAAAACAATTTCCTTCAAGAATTTGCACTCAAATGGTTTCCTCCTCTGCTGCCAGGGCCCAAGAAGTATGGCTTGAATGGTCATCTTTTGAGGCACATCGCACACAGCCCTTGGCATAATGGCCACGGCTAGGAAGCCAATATCCAAACCCAGCATCCTGGGAGGCATCCCACACCCACTGACTGAAATCTGAAGTGTCTTTGTACAGACAAGGCCATCCAGGGGCCTTGACAGAATCTGTGAATCACAAAGTGCCTTTCAGTTTCCCTTTGGCTCAATGTTACAGAGAGGCCACAGATTTGTCTTCTTAAATTGACACACAATATATAATTAATAAATTGTTCCTTTAGGAATGAAGGGCAGCCGTCCAAAAGAGCCACACATTCAGAAACCTCATTCTCTTCTCTGTTTCCATGGCCTTTTCTTCTAAGACTGGGATGTACAGACATTATCTCATCTGCAGGTTCCTGTGGCAACAGGTAGGTAACGAGCTGGGCAAGCTGCTTTCCTTTGCCCAATTGTTAAGGTTGGAGAGGTGGTGGTGAATTTAAAGGCACACAGCAAGTCAAGGATAAATCCTGTGTCCTAAGACCACTGCACTGCTCTGTCTGCCCAGGAAGTGAAGCATGCCCTTAACATTTTTGGTTGATTGCAAAATGCTAAATGCACACAGAGGGAAAGTTCCTTCCTGGCCTCTGTTTGTGTGTTGAAATGTGAGAATTACCTCCAGGTTTCTGCTCAGTGTACTCCCTCCCCTTTCTGCCTACTCGTTACACCTACCTTCAGTGAGCTACTCAAGAGCACTTCTTACCTGAAGCCTTACTGATGCCCTGTCTTAACACGGGCTACCTTTTGCAGGTAAACCTGGGGCTAGGTTTCTTGGTCACAGAGCCCAACTCTCCTGGGAAGAGCAAAATCCAGGAAGGTTCTGGGGGTAGCCATGGGTTGACTACACACATGAGCTACATTCTTAATGATTATGTAATTAATACATTAAAACAATAAATACATAGATATAATAGCACTTAACTATGTGTGCCAGCTGCTGTACTTGGCACTTTCATGCATCCCTCACTTAATAAGAGCATCCCATGAAGAACCAGCTCCTTCCCCACCAACGCTGGCCCCCCCAGTCACTGCCTGGCGGCATGCCCCACCATCCTCCCCCACTTCTGCTACCACAGCAGGGTCCATCCTTTAGACCCTAGACATGGTTTTGCTCCCCCAAATGACAAGACCAAAGGCCTTTTACAAAGACTCCAATGAGGTGACTGATGTCTGGTTTCGTCAACTACAAGTGAATAATAATTAATACTTGCCACTAAAGAAATAGATTCATTGTTATGGTGGCCACACGGAGGCTACAAAAGCCCATTTTGTGAAGCTCTTGGTAGAACCCTGGGGCCAACAGCGGCCAAAAGAAACCTCTTTGAGAGTGTAGGCCAATCCTCAAATGTGGGGACCGGAGCCCTGTACTGTTTTCCAGGAGTGTCGTTTCTAATGCTAATTAGCTTGTTGCCTATTCATCACCTAATTCAGCTTGCTGGTCAATGACAGCAGCAGAGGCCCACTGAACGCCCAACAGGGAACAATTTATCAGAGGGGACAGGTAGTGTTCTCCTGGGGCCCTCTTCCAGATTTTAAATTCATGTTTACTTCCTTCTCTGGGCCAGCCTCTGATTTGATTTGAGAAAAACTCACCAACCCTACTGGATTGGATACCCCATTCTTGGCCTAATGCCTAAAGCAAGTTTTTCCTTCAGCAGGGACTGAACAAGGCAGGCTTGGGTGGCTACAGAACTGGTCAGAACTGGCCAGGAAATATAATAAAGAAGCTTAGTGAGCAGAGAGCTAATGCCCCCAGTCAGAGGCTCAGCATACAGAAACAGGCAGAAGCACTGGCTTTGTAAGCAACAACACGCTCTTCTTGTGGCCTACTAACTGCCTGGGCAGATGGCATCCAGGGGCAATGAGTAACTCTCTGTAGGAAAGTTTCACCTCCCCCAAGTGGATACTGAGTGCTCAACAAATACCTTCCAGTGACACTAACCGACCCCTGACCAGTTACACACACACACACACACACACACACACACACACACACACACACACACAATTCCATTATTTCTGCTCTTGAAGCAAACAGAGCTGACAACCGGTAGACACTGTCATTTCAGTGAGCTGTTCCCCAAAACTGCTACCTAGTTCCCTGTTCCCACTTCCAGCTCAGTGCCTGAAATGCCACTTTAGTGATATCAAATATGTTGACTTAAAGATTTGTTTTCCATTAAAATGCCTTTCGGCCCATTTCCTTTCCAGTCAAATGACTTCTAAAGGACCTGCTCTGCACTGAATGGGAAATTCTTTTGTATTTAGCTCTTAAGGATAAACATGTTCACTGGCTCCTATCTTGAAAATAATTTTTGACATAGGAGAATGGGGGAAGCACAGAGCACTGCACGGAGGTGGAGGTGGGAGGCCTCAGGGAGAGTCACAGAGGAGGTGCCTAACTGTGCAGAAAACCACCTTCAAGGCCTTCGCAATCCTGCCCAGGGATATGGACCTAGAATTTTGCCTCCCAATATCTGTGATCTCCAAGGTTACCAGCACTGCTTCCAACAGGGCCTGTGTCCAAGAATAAGTAAGGTGAGACCCACTGCCCTAAAGGGGACACAGGTACAAGGTAGAAAACAAGAGTATGAGAGCCAGGACTCTCCTGGGTTGCCCCTCATGCCCCAGTCTCCTCGCCCATGCCAGGAAGGCACCTGAGAGCTAGCAGGAAAAGATCCTTGCTACCTTCTTGTCCTGGCTGGAAGAGAAGCCCATGGCCCATCAGCCCACAATGCTCCATCGCCGTGCTGGAGAAACTAGGCAACCAGAGGTCAAAGTCAGATTCCCTGAGCTGGGGAGGGCCTGGGCAGTCCCAGCGTCCTTTCCTGCCAGGTTCTCCTTAGTACAGAGAACCACACTCCTGTCCGATCACGTTTCCTGCCCCCACCCCCACCCCTAAACAGAGAGCAACCCCTTCTCTTCCTTTTCACCCATCCATCGAGGGGGAGGGTGTCCTGAAAAGCAGAAACCACAACAGACAGGTAGGCACTCTTCCCAATTCTTCGGAGCTCAAGAAAATCCAACCTCCTCCCCAGGAGTCAGCCCACTCATCACCCTTCCCCCCTGTCCTCCCCCGCTGCCTGGCAGCCAGGAGGGAGAGTGATGCTAGTGTAGGCCAGAAGGCTTCAAAGCGGGTCAGACTTGCCTCCTCCCTCGTTAAAACCCCCACCTTCAAACACTGGCGCTTCGCCCCTCGCCCCACCCATCTCACGTTCACTGCAGGGCGTCGGGTGCCCCAGGCGGCTGCCAGGCGGGCCCACGCGGCTCTCGCTTGCCCCGGAGGAGGTGATGGTGGCCGAGGCGGCAGAGGCGGCTGTCGGCGTTCTGCAATACCTGGGCTCGGGGATGTCGCCGCTGCAGGTGTCTCCGGTTCTCGGGGTTAGCGCCGCTCCTTCACCCGCCCGCGGCTCCGGCCCAGGCCGCGCACCTGCTGCTGCCGCCGCCGCGCCCGAGCTGCGTTGTGTGCCGGCGCTTTCCCGCAGGGGGGTCCGCGCAACGAGGCCCAGGGTGGGCCGGAGGGGGAAGGGGGCCGCGCGGGGCCTGGAACCCGGCGTGCAGGGGCTTCGGAGGCCCCCAGGCCGCGCTAGCCGGGGCGCCGGGCCGAGCGCCCCCCTCGGGTGGGGAGAAGGGGCGCCGGCGCCTCGCGCATCCTCACGGCCGTATCGACGTCCCCCCGCAGCATCCCGGTCCCAACGCCGGCCCCAAGGCCTGCGAACGCTGCTTACCTGGGTCTGCGGCAGGTTCGGGGGAGCGGCCCAAGGCTACCGCGGGGCCCCGCGCCGGGGCGCAGGATGCTCTGCCCCGCTTAGCTCCGCTGGAGGGCCGCCGCGCTCGGCCCCGCCCTCGGCCCCGCCCCCGCGCCCGTCGCGGCTCCTCCCCCGCCCGGGGTGCCAGCCCCTTCGCCGCCGCCGCTGTCACACAAAGAGCAGGAAATGGCTGCGGCGAGGGGAGCTCGGTGCGCCCCTCAACGCGGAGGGCGCATCCCAGACCTGCACCCCGGCGCCGGCCCCAGGACAGCCAGCCGCCCTGCCCTCAGAATGGAGAAGGAAGGGAGGACTTGCCCCCAGATCCCGCGTGCCGGAGAGCCACACCTGCAGCAGTGGGAGGACGGAAGCTTTGGGCTCCATTGCGATCTCATCGATCTCACGTTATTTCCAAGTGCTCATTTATCTACCTAATATTTATTGAGCACCTATTTTGTTCCGAGCCTCGTGCCAGGAGCTGAGTACGCACTGGTGTACTACCCTTTTGGAGCTTGCTATCTACCTGGATAGATAGGGCATAAATTAACCTAGCTAACGTCCAGTTACAGCTAGAAGAAGTTCTGTGAAGGAAAGAAACAGGGCGAAGTGATGGAAGATAAACCAGGGGTTTGGGGAGAGGGAACTTCCACCAGTTGAGTCTGGTTACCAGTGCTCCTCTGCTCAGGAGTATCTTCTCAGTCGCTTGGAGCCAATCCCTGAAGCTGCCATCTCTTAAGCAGGGACCTGCCTCAACTTCATTGAGGAAGAATTGCCTAATGGACAAAAAGGAAAATACATGGTGACAGGAAGTCACCTGGCTTTGCCAGGAAGGACCTGAGAGGACAGGCACCTTTCTCTTCAAGGCTTATCTGCCATTTAGGGCTGCCCAAAGAAACGGTCCTCACCCGAGCAGCAGTCTGGTGGGGCTTCAGATCCAACCTTGAGACCCCCTACTCAAGTCACTTCAACACTCTGTTCTTGAGAAGCCACCATATCTATAACGTGAGGGATAATAATTGCCCTTCCTACCTCACAAGGTAAACACTTGAAAGCATTTGAAACATTTTAAAATGTAAAGGATAAAGTACTGTTACAAGGGAAGCTTTCTCAAAAGTTTGTCTATGTATACTTAATTACTCAGCTATTCCTATTAGGGGCTATTTATAGAGGAGCCACAGAGTCTCTGGCAAAGAACTTGGGAATCTACACCCTCACTGATCTCACACCATTTCTTATTTCCCAAGCACTCAGAATTCATGATCCTTTATGGTTTGATGTTACATCACTCATTCGAATTTAAATTGCTATTTCAGAAAGGATGACTTATATATGTACACACATACATTTCTGTCCCTGTGAGAAAGCTTGTGGAGGTGTTTGTGGAGGATGGCTTTAAACACCAAAGTTTCTTTCTTTCT